ACCAAATTTTACATTTCAAATGAAGAAACAGCTTCCTGCATGATCAACTGTTCTGTTCATATCTGCTGTAAATTGTTATTTAACATTTAATACTATAAAAAAAGATCAGTAGAGGGCAGGACATCTTCTTCGCCGAGCTTTCTAGGGATATATTTTCCTTCACCAAGATTTCAGCATCCTATCTTGCTCGTAAAATCCTCGGGACAGAAAAAAATCCTTTGTCAAATTCCTAAACATGGTCTCGCCTTCAATGCTGATGTCACAGAAAATCTTCAAAGGGATCAATGATAAAAGAATCTTCATCTGATCAGTCAGCTATAAACGCATTAGTACATGGAAAGGCCAGATCCAACATAATCAATAAATATATTCAAAATCTCAAAAACCTGGAGAAATGACAATATCGTGGGTGCCAGGATAGGGATAGGGATAAAAGAGGCGGCCACGAGGTTTACTGCACCTCGACCTAAATAGATCTATTGTGTTGCTCTGTTATTTATAACTCACTGGCCAGCTTCATGCTATTAACCAGCTTCGACAGCTTTGCCAACGGTTCCTTGGTGTAGGATCTTCCTTTTGGTTTTTCTTGTCCTAGTTGCAAGAACCTGCACCTACTTCTACCTTCGCAGAAACATAACATGAGTTCTGCAGTCCCCTCCGCTTCCTGGCAGTATCTGCACAGTGTTTCTTCTGTCTGTACTCCTATACGGTGCATGTGCTTTCTTAAGTGGCAGTGCCCAGGAGCCCAACCAGAATTCTGGTTCGGTTGCGGTTGACTTCCAATAATTTTGTAAGTTTTGCGGATGGTTTTTCTACGAATCTCTTCGCGTGCCTCATACATTTGGTGGATGCCAAGACACAGATGAGATCTGCAATACCATAATATTAAGGCCCAGAACGTGGGATATGGTATGGTATGGTAAAAAAGGATACTAGGAAGCGGGGTCTGTGCTCCCCAGGCCCTGCAGCCGTTTGGCTTATTGTACCTTCCTAGTTCATTAGTTCAGTGCAATAGACTCAATCCTTCTCCTTAGAAGTATCAGGTCATTGACTGTCGCTGCTCCAATTTGATTCCCTAAGTTTTTTCCATACGTTAGGTTAAATTTCCATTGAGCTGTTGCTTCGCATTCGAAGATGATATGGGTGGCTGTTTCCTCCTCCTCATTACATAATCTGCAAATGGGATCATCGTTTTATATACTCATGTTGTATAGATGTCTTCTCAGATGCCAGTGACTGGTTAGTAGTGCTACCGCTCCTCCGAGTTTGGCCCTCTCCAATTGCAGCAGTGCTTTTGCCAGTCTTGGTGAGGGTTGTTTCATCACAAGTTTACTATGTCTAGGCGCCGCTAGAGTTTATCCACTTCTCATTTTGTTTTGTTTGGATCCATTCTGCGATGGAGGATTCTATATTTGTTTTTGTTCTCCCAAATATAGGTTCGGGGCCTATGTACGGTCTTGCAGATCCTACTCTGGCCAGACTGTCTGCTTTCTCATTACACAAAATTCCCCTGCGCCCTGGCACCCAAGATATCATCAGGTTGTTGTTTCCCCAGGTTTTGGAGATTTTGGATGCATTCACTAATTAATTTTGATGTGATTCTTTTATATGCTAATGTTTTAATGGCCGCTTGGCTATCAGATCTTATAAGGATTTTTTGCCAGTGTAACCTCTTTTAAGATTTTCCAGGGCACAAGCAGTGATAACATGTATTTCTTCTTGAAAGACCGAAGTGTACTTCCCTAATGAGTTTGATTGCTCATGTTTTAGGCTTGTACAGAAAATGCCCGATCCGGTTCATTCGTTTGTTTTGGAGCCATCTATACGATACCCTACCATTGTATCTGATGCTTTCCTGTGTTCTTCTTCTCCTTTATAATCCGTTCAGGCTTTGTAGGAAGTTGTGAAGAATGTTTTCGGGATCAAACATTGCTAATAATGGGTGTCTGATTTTGTTGATTATCGTTGTATGCCCGAATTGTTTAGTTCCTATACAATTTAATTGTTTCTGGAGCCTAAGTGAGCTTTTCCTAGCCTCTCCTTGTATAAATATTTCCGGTGGAGGTAGGTCTAGCAGAGTTTCTGATGCATTTGTAGGGGTTGTTCTCATTGCCCCTGTGATAGGTTTGCTAGTCTTTGTATGCTGCCTAATGTTTGGGTAGCTACTTTTTGTTGAGCTTTGTTCCACCAGATCAGTGATACATAGGTTATTCTGTGTCTTATTACTGCCGTGTATAGCCAATAGGCCATTTTCTGTTTTAATCCCCAAGATTTGAGAACGTGGGATAACGCTCCTTCATTCTTCATGAAGATGAAATTTAAAAAAAAACTCCATCTCAGAATAGGTCCACAAAAAAACAAAATGAGATGTGGACTAATACCAGAGGTGCCAGACATAGTAAATTAAAGAAAAAAGAAAGAAGAATGAGAGAGGGCTAGAGAGATATATATAGAGAGAGAGAGAGAGAGAGAGAGAGAGAGAGAGAGAGAGAGAGAGAGAGAGAGAGAGAGATAGCAAGAGAACGGGAGGGAGAAGAGAGTGATAGAAGAAAGAGAGACAACGAAAGGGCAAAAAGTATGAAGGAAGGAAGAAAAAAAAAAGAGAGAGAGAGATTCCAAAACTGTTCAACATAAAACAAGGTTTATTATCTTTCGTATATTTCGTGTGTATTCAAAATAAACAACCATCCCTAAATTATTTTTTTAACATTATTTAAGTAGGCCAGAAAATGGAGTGGGATCTCAGGTTAACACCCTGTAAATAATGTATCTATCTATCAGAGCTTGAGCTTAGAAAATGGTTTTTATCTATCCTATTGTAATATTCCCCCTATGCAAACTTTAATTGTATGTAGGAATGCCCATTAAATGTAAGAAAGGTCCCTGAGGACTTTTTTTAAATTTTACGAGCTTTTATAAATAAAATATTTATTTAGAAATCGTGAGATGCGGTCTGGTGTGATGTAGGTTTCAGAAAAACATTTTCTTTATCGTGCCAACGTTTCGATCTTTGTTGAGATCATCTTCAGGGCCTGAGATTTACAAACATTGTTTACATAATACAATTACATTTTGGATGTGGAAAAGTGAATTTATACAATGCAAAATTTATTTTCTTCCTTACATTTTGTTCTCTCTCTCTCTCTCTCTCTCTCTGTCTCTTTCTTTAACTCTCTTCCTCCTTTTTTTCTGGCTTGTCTCTTGGTCTTTTTTATTCCCTTCTTCTGTCTCTCTTTTTTCTTCCTTCCTTCATACTTTTTGCCCTTTCGTTGTCTCTCTTTCTTTTATCACTCTCTTCTCCCTCCCATTCTCTTGCTTGTTTCTCTCTTACTCTCTTTATTTCCATGGCGATTGTTGAGTCTCTTATGTTGTTGAATATGATGTCAGTATTTGACCAAATTCTGCGACTCCAAATACAACCACATTGTCATGCATTCTCTCTCTCCCTCCTCTCTCCCACACACTCTCTCTCTCTCCTCTCACTCCATCTCCCTCAGTACACGCGTGTTTGATTGCACAAACAAACGGTTCCGATTGATATACAATTTTTCAAAATTCAATTCAGCCTCCGCTCAGTGGATCGAGATTCTTGAGGTTTCCGCGGGACAAAAGAAAAAGAAAGACGAGGAAAATTTCATGGCCTTTTTCATCCGTCACGCCGCAATTCTGGGTGTGGGAGAACGAAAATCGTGATTTACATTCGAACAGTTGGTGTATTATAGAGGAAGAAAAAAAAATGGAAGGTCATGGAAAGTGATCCACAAAAGAATTAATCCATCTACGATATACAAATGTAAGAATGTATGTCGTTATTTCTGACACGTGCCGCCGAATTAAAAAAAATTGAAATTTCCAAATTTTGTATTTATTTTTCAAGCCTTTTTGCTGTGCAACTCTGATTATGCGCATCTTTGACGATGAAGTTTTCAAACTCAAACCTGAATACAAGTACAAAAAGTTTTGAGACACTTAAAGACTGGTAAAGCCAAAATGCTTGATTTATGAGCTCAAATAGCGGCACCAGTTGCGAAAAATCGAAGCTTTTCTAAATGGAATAATAACTTGCCATAAAAATGGATTGTGTATGGATCAAAGTAGGTCAGGTTGTATAAATGTTCACGAATGTGCCAGAACACAAGCCAAAACAAACTTTGGCACCTCGAAAAACCAATGGTGGCCTGGTTCTGAATAAATTATAGGCAGGTTAGCTATGAAGTTCTTCCTCACCCACCTTATACTCCAGTCTTGTCTACCATGCCATTTTTTTTAAGCAATTTGGACAACTTCATCAAGAGAAAATGTTTTGTCAAAAAGCGTTTTTGACTAGATTTTTTCACTAAAGTTCTGCACTGGTTGCACATCGGGAAAAGTGCCTAGAATAAGAAAGTAAATACTTTGAATAAAACGGTTTTTATTTAATTTGAAGGATAAAGTCAGGGGAATTCAACCTTTTTTCTCTTTAACCATCATAGTCGCTCGATTGGGGTATATGACGCATGACTTCACACATAACCACTCTTGGTTAAAATATATATTGCATTACCTGAACGCTAAGACAAACAAAAAATGGGGATTTCAAAGTGAAGTTGGGCGTTTTTTCGCCTGATCGACTGAGTCACTAATGATCTTAATGTCCTGTTAGGCTGGACTGGAGCGGTCAACCTTGTCCTCTGAGTCTGACTGTCGAGACGTTTTGTTTTCATTCTTGAATGTCAGATCAAGGCTGTCCTAGTTAACAATTATGGAAAATTTCTAATAACCAAATTAACAGAATTTCAGGTCTATAAAGAAACAATCTTGGCTTATAAGAAAACAATCCGCCTAAAAAAAAATGCTTCATTCTTCAGGATACTTTTTTAAAATATTATTTATATGCATTTACTCTACTTTCATTTCAAGTCCCTGAGCTTAAAATGATCTAGCTGAAAAATTTGTACTATTTTATTTTCAAAAGTTTTATTTTGAAAATATTACCATCTGACTCGGCATAACAGCTGAATTTTTTTCAAAATGACGCCCTGTTAGATTATAAAAAAAAGAAATGATTTATTTATTTTTTTAAATAAAAAATAAATAGGTTTATCTTTAAGCGTTTAAAAAAAGTGATATTTCTGTGATCACAATAGTTTCTCCTGAAATTATGGACAGTCAGAAAGCAACACTAGGATCTGAAGCGATGATTTCGTGGATCACAACTTACTCCTGTCATACTAATGTGATTGATGAATAGCTGTCCTTTAAAGGTATAAGAAACACTGCTAGCATACTCGAATAAACTCGGATTCAGCATATCGTGATGCCATCGAGATGGGAGACGTTCATCCAAAGGCGTTCGAGCAAGGTGTCGTACACGGATCAGCAGAAGACGTTCGCCGGCGATTCCGAACTTGCCGGACCCTCGAAAGCCTGGAGATCGAACTACGGTACGTCGAATTTGCCTGGGGCATTCAGAGTCGTTCACAGTTGTAATTTGTTTAGAAACATCAAGCGCTTCGGGTGATACATTTATACAAACAACGACGAACACGTCTTCGGAAGAGACGACTTCCTCATCGAATACTTTCTCCTGCGAGGTAAATAATTTGTAGCGAAACACTTAAAAAGGCAAGAGTGTTGAACCGGCACTGGGCCCGTGTTACGGCTTTGCGGCCATCTTCAGTGAGTTCCGCAAGTGTATGCACACCTTGCCTGTTCAAAGTGTACTCACAAGACCACCCACCATCAACTTTAACCAAACTTACAAGAGAAATTGGCAATTTCATCAAAACTTAAGCAATGAAAACAATAAATATTCATTATGTTTTGAACATAAATGACACTGAGACCTACACGTTGAAGAAAAAACTGCTCACAGACCAAATATGACAGATGGTATCAAAATTTTGATTGGGCTAAAGTACATTTTAATTTTTTATTTTTTAAAATTAAATTCGTTTTTATTTAATTAGATCAAATATAACGGGAAGACTTATTTTGTGTAGGCCTAGGTTACAATTCCAGTTCCTCATTGAGGATTGTGCAAAATCTAAATAGCATAACATAATAGTGAGTGTAGATGGACCCAGAGCCGGTTCAACATGTTTTCAGCGACTCTCCGACTAAAACCCACCATAGATTTAACCTAATAGGGATTGGCTGTTCTGTCAAAACTTGACTTTAAGAAATGCACACAATTAATATTCTGTTTTGGGCATAAATGGCACTGAGAACTACAGGAGAAAAACTTCTTACAGACCAAAATATGACTCCCCCCCTTTAGGACTTTCTTTTCCCATCATTTCAATCTATATTCATCCACTCTGAGCCATAGGTGATGACTGGTCTTAATGCCACCTTGTAAATTCTTTATTTGGCTGCCTAGCACAGGTTGGAGCGCCTACAGACATTCATTTCTCGCTGCCATTTTTCTTCTAATAACCTCACTAATCCTGCTTGAAGAAGTTATAACTGCACCTAAGTTTTTAAAATTTTTAACTGCTTCAAAGTCCACCTGAAGATTCCAGAATATCCTCCTATTAGTGAGTACAAGATCATTACTCATTCTAACTAAACGACAACATTCTAACTTTCCTCATTTTACACTTAATTCGAAGAAGAGACTTAATTTACCAATAATACCTAGAAAACTTATCAAAGTGAATCCATTAAAGTAGCATATACAGTACTCAATGAAAAGTTCATTTTATCAGACTGTCAGTATGATATTGCATTCCTTCTGGCTAGCAGCTTTTGAAATAAAGTATAAAACAATAAATCTAAGAACTAGTTTAAAATGAATATGTGAACTAATTTATATGACTTTTTTTATTGGTAAAAAATAGAAGGTAAAAGCGGCTTTCGGGAACCCGTTCTGTATCAACTCAACGGATGAGGTAGGTTGGCCTAAGACTGAGTGGATTCAGGTTCAAAGTTTCATGTGATATTTATTTCGCAAGGTCTTGGACTTGGAGCCGGCGGAAAATGAAGTGATACGCAACGGAGAAGTGAAACTCGGGAACAGATTGATAAGAAGCGCTTGCATTATGAAGACCGCTTGCTTTGCCACTGTAGGCATTGGGACAGGCATCGCAGCGGTTTTCATTCTCATCTTTCAAGAAGTGATGGCGGAATTCAAGTATCATGCTTTGCTAAATGGTACACAACACACACATATTACAGCACACTTTGGTCAAGAAATGTTAAAGAGTTTCCATGACAATTAAACCCAAAAAACAACAAATAAAACAATCGACAATTAATAATTAATAAAACAACTCATTTTGTAACTTAAAAAAAAATTTACAAATCAGCAGTTTCAATGCCTTCAATATTCTAATTATTTTTTTTTATTATTATTATTTTTTTTTTTGTAAAAGGGAAAACTATTGTAATATTGTTCAGGCTCTCTGAGCAATGTTAACTTTTATTCTTAAATATTACCTAAAATCACCTACCTCAGTTTTGGCTGATCGTGGTCAGACCTGAAAGTTAGACTGCAGGGGTTGTCAGCAACAGCTAGGTCAATTCAACAACCAACACATACAGTTTTTGAACAAACCTAGACCCACTCACACTCTCACTCACTTTTAAATACATTCTTTTCTATTTACATATTCACCCAAATAAGGCGGTGCTCGGTATTCGTATAGCTTTTTAAAGAGAGCCTATGAAATACTCAATATTTCAACTTCAGCCTTCTCACATTATGTATTCACTCTAATAAATACATTCAGTCTCCATGAACACAAACAAGGAACATGAAAATATCTATCAAGTACTATATCCAATAAAACAGTTGTTTCCTCCAAAAATCAAAACAGGGGGCACATTCGCTGCTTCGCTCAAGTACAATTCTCGTCTGCTAAACATTCTCGCTAATAAATAAATTCAATCTCACTAATTGCTTTGCTCAAACACAACTTTTTTTAAGCTGTAGGTTAGGAATAATTAGCCATAGCTCCCAAAGGGGATGACAGGTGATTCCCGGGAGCCACATACTCAGCCAGAACGGACCTACAGGGGGAATCAAGAGGGCTTACCAACACAATTGTCATGTACATACTAAACATTCTCACTAGTAAATACATTCAATCTCAATAAAAGCAAAAGGGAACATAAAACAATATCCATTAGTACTGTATACAATAAAACTTTGAAACAACACAAATACTAGCTATTCAAGCAAAATTTTGACATCGGTTGGCATTTCTATGCACTTTCTATAGAGCTAAGTAAGGACACTTCAGTTATGAGGGATACATTAAACTTGATAACATATTGATAACATACCAGGCAGATACATGGGTCAAAGCATCATCTGTGTGTCAACCTTGCATGGCCTATTCTTAGTTGGGTGAATATCCTCTTCAAGGGCCACCTATTGATCGAGCTCTTGATAAAAAGAGCTTTTCTGTCGATCCAGCCACCGATGCTGACATTTCCTATTAACCATGTTTTTAATATCAGTTTTTGAGTCGGAGTGTTGAATCGCAGTAGGTCTGGAGGTTCCTATTCATCCCTTTTGCCAAGATTGTTCTTAAATATCTGACATTAATGAGATGTAACTTTATGATTTGATGTCATTTGAGTCACTTGTAGATGTTGCCCAGTGACAAGTGATTGTAATCTATGATAAAAAAAAAACATTATTGATTTACATCCTTTTATTTAGTAAAAAAATGCCATTTGGTTGCAGTTTTAGATAATCACCAAATAACATCACCTTTGGTGATTCTTTTCTGGTTCAGTGGTGTCATTATTCCTTTGCTGATCGGTTGCCTCATAGTTATTTACATCGAGGTCAGTGCTGATCAAAATTCACTTTTTTATTAATTTGTTATAAAATAAATTGTTTATTTTAGCCAAAAGCAGCAGGTGAAGGTATAGCGAACGTTATCGGATATTTAAATGGAGTGAACACTTCGACTGGTAATACGATGAAAATCATGATTGTAAAGTTTTTCAGCGTTTTTGGCACAATGGCATCAGGGATTGCAGGGGGGATGGTGGGATTTTAAATACTCAAACTGTTTTAAACTTTTTATTTTATTTTTATTTTCTTCCAGGAAGGTCCATTAATTCATATCGGTGCTTGCATAGCTAGCTGTATATCAAATCTTCGATTGCCTTTCCATTGGTGTATAAGACCTGAACCAAATTTCAATCAGCCTTTCAGACGTTTACAAACTGATTTACACCGAAGAGATTTAGTCGGAGGTGGCATGGCAGCAGGGATTTCTGGAGGATTTTTTGCTCCCTTTGGTATACTTCATTACACTCAAGTTTATATAAATTTTCTGTTAAATTTTTCTTTTTAATTTCAGGAGGTTTGATTATGGTTTTAGAAGAAGGGTTGATTTATTGTACCAGTGATGTTATGGTTGGTATCCTCATTTGCTCTATTGTATGTCAAGTATTTGTTGTGACTGTCATGTCAATAATTTTTGGCTGTGAAGGTTAGCACTAATTGAACTTCAACTTACAATGCTTACAATTGCAATTATTTCAAAGGTTGCCAAAATCAAAGAGCTTTATTATTTTTTTCGACACCGACCAAGTCGAATGGTTACAAATACAGGGACATCGGGCTCATAATCTTGGAAGCGGTGATTGCTGGCCTTCTCGGTGCAGCATGGAATTATTGCCAACTAAGATTGATTTTATTAAGAAACATGTACGTGCTCTGTAATTAAAAAATCTATTTTTATAAATTAAAAATTTTCTTATTGCAGATATGTTAAAACAAATGGTCGTAGAATTTCTGAAGCGTTAGTGCTCGCTTTGATCACTGCTGGTATTGGGTGGTTGCAACTTGCAGGTTTGCAGCAAAATTGTGTTGATGAACCATCTGATGTCAAAGGATTTAATTTTGCCTCGTTGAAAGTAAGAAACATCAGAAACAACAACCTATACTAACTTAACATATAAAGGATTCTTTGTCATCTTTAACACTTATTATAGAACATTAATAAAGTTACAGAAAAGGCACACCATTCTTTTTCACCATCTCAGTTGGATTGTGGAACATTTTTGTTTTATAGTTTTTGAAGGTCTCTTAACAAAAACTGATCTGTTTCAGTTAAAATGCAAAAGTGGACAGATAAACGGTGTTGGCACACTTATTGGATTGTCTCAGCCAAGTGCGATAAAGTTTCTTTTCTACGATTCTGACTGTACGATGAATTCTGAAGTATAAACCACTCCCACCCGAAGAAAAATCCCTGTAATTTGAATTTGTCATTTTAGCCTTTGACATGACTACACTTTTAATATATTCTATTACATACTTCTTCCTTTCAACGGCGACGATGGGTACGTACATATCTGCTGGAATATTCGTACCGAACATTTTGCTTGGAGCTGCTTGGGGGAGATTCTATGGAGAGTTCTGGAAAGCTGTCGCTTTCCCATATGTAAATATATACATTAAAAAAAATAATTTTTTGTTATTGTTTTATTAAGGAAGATTTCAGACCTCATATATTTGCGATTGTTGGAGCCGGTGCGCAGCTCTGTGGTGTGATCAGAGTGCCTTTAACCATAGCGATTATTATGATTGAAACTTGTTCAGCATATTATCTAACTCTTCCGATTTTTATTGCAATGATGATTTCAACAGTGGTCGGCAACACGATTAATGAAGTATGCGTACGATGTGCAAACCCCCCCCCCAAAAAAAAAAAAAAAAATTAATGGTGTCTGTTTAGTCTATATACCATATCCAGTGCTTGGTGGCAGGCATGCCAATAATTGAAAAAGACCCTTCACCGTTATGCATGAGAATTTCAGTTCAAGATGTGATGGAAAAAAGTGTTGTCAGCCTGCAAAAAGAGGAATCGATACAAAATGTCTTGTTCAACTTGATGTCAACGACACACAACATTTTTCCTATTTTAAAAGGAAAGGTACTCAACTATTTCTAAACAGAGCATGTCGAAAGGAAGTTTGAATTTTTCAGATACTTGTAGGTTCGGTCCGAAGGTGCCAACTAATCCAAATACTGCGGTATAATCTTTTCAACAAAGACTTTGTTCAAAGCTATGAGATTATGAAAGGCAATGATAACCCTCCATGGACCATTAATGTAAAAATGCCCAAATATCAATTTGAATTAATTTTCTTAAATTAATTAATTAATTTTACAACAGGATATTGACTTAAACCTATATGACCTAGATCAAATCATCGACTTAGGTTTATACATGAACAACTCACCTTATTCTTTAAAAATGGTTATTATTTTAACAGTAATTATAAAATTTTTTTGAGAATATTAATTTGTTTTAAATTGCAGGACAGCTCAATTGTGAACGCTCATAAGTTAATGTCCCACATGGGCGCAAGGCATGTAATCATCGTCAATGAACTTAATGAGGTGAACCCCTATTTAATCTTCAATTAAAAACTAAAAGTTAATTTTATTTCCGTTTCAAGGTTGTTGGCATTTTGACGAGAAAAGATATTGTATATTTACGGAAGAAGGTCTCGACTTGTGCCGTCCGGCTTATTTATTTGCCTAGAAAATGATTAATAAATACTTTTTGTCATTTTTATGAAATATTTTATTTAAGTTATTCACTTTGAATTGATTAAAACTTCAGATTTTTATTGACAAACAAGAGATGGTCATTCCTAGTGGATGACTTGAACAGAATGTTGGAATTTTTAAGTACCAAAAATGAATGTGAAAAAGGAAAAAAATAGCTCAATCAAGGAAGTATCTGTTGGTACACCAAAGGATCTAGAATGCAAGAAGGTTCACGGACAGGAGTATTTGTCCCCCAGAACGAAAAATTCAGAGCCCATGGTTACACCAGTAGCTTTCAAATATCCAAATACAACAAACCCATGCAATTGAGAGGCATAATTCTATACTTATCCAAAAGAGAAAATTCTTTAAACCTAGAATCCAGATAATCAAATTCCTTGAATTGGGACTCACTGGTGTACTGTGAGTACAGGACAGGGTAATGACTCCTAAAGGGCATATTATGCCAAATTTTAACCAGCATTGTCTGTCTACACTAAATGCGCCATCTTCAGTGAGTAAATGTGGAAAGGGACCTGATAAGTAACCCACCATCAACTTTACATCTACATAGCCCAAAGTAATAATAATAAAGATTGATAAACACCGGCACCCCGAGGGTTGATATAACCTCTGCTGTTGCGAACCCTTGTAAAAAATATTAAAAAAAAAAAAAAATAAATAAAGATTGGTAAACTGTGAAAACAATTTTTCTATTCTAACAGGTTTCCTGCATTGCGGTTGGCATTCATTAAAGCTAAAACATTATAAAATTATATGTTAATATATATACAAAAAAAAAAAAAAAAGTTATAGATTGTACATTAAATTACAGAGGGATATTTAAAAAAAAATTGAATAAATAAATTAACACATAATGGAAAAAGTGTCTTCTCTTGCAAGTTGTAATTATTTAAATAAAATTAATTTCAGCTGGTTAATAAAAAAATAAGTTACTTGGAATAAAATTTTCATTACATATGTGGTTGAACTTGAACTTACAACTTATGTCGTGATGTTTACTATTGGGGCTATTAGCAAAGACGCGACCCGTGTGTCTCGGCTCTCTGCCATTATTAAGAAGGTGCAAAAAGAACATGTGAGTGATTTTTTGACTCATGAGTTATTCTCTAAATAATTAGATGGATTTCTTTTAGCCAAAAATCCACGATGAACCACCAGGTCATTCATTCATCAACACAAAAGCGGAGGTAAGTTTTTTTTAAAATTTGTCTGAGCAGATGTTTTACGGCTGTTGCCTTAGGTTTTGGACTTTGAAGTTCCTGAATGCAGCTTAATAGTGGCAGCTGAAGTAAAATATGGAAGAAGGCTTCAGATTAAGCTAGAAGCTTTTCGTTTTTTAGCTTTTGTTGGAGTAGGAGTTTCAGTTGGCCTAGTGGCATTTCTGATCTTATTTGTTCACGAAGAATTGGCTGTATTGAAGAATAAGCTATTGATAAATGGTAAAACATCCTTTACACATACCAACAACCTAATCTATATCATTTGTAGTTATTGACAAACACAGCATAGTGTCGCCCTTGTCTATATTAGTGTGGTTTGGCGGTGTACTTATTCCTGCTATGATCGGATGCTTGTTAGTTGTTTTCATTGAAGTGAGTATATTTAAAATTGTAAGTGTTTTATTTGCTCACGTGGAATTTTGTGTAGCCGAAAGCTGCAGGTGGTGGTGTTGCTGGCATAGTCGGCTTCGTTAATGGAGTCGATACATCTGCAACATTAACTATGAAAATTTTACTTATTAAATCGATCAGTGTTATCTGCTGTATCACCGCGGGACTGGCTGGTGGAATGGTAAGATGACCCATCCAAAAAAGTGATTTTGTGTAAATTGATTTCTTTTATGAATTGGAGGAAGGTCCGTTGGTGCACATAGGAACAATTGTGGGCGCTTGCTTACCAGACTTTAAAATTTTGGCATATGAACCATTACGGTATCTAAGAACGGATTATGACAGAAGAGATCTTGCCGGAGGTGGAATAGCCTGTGGAATTTCTGCTGCATTTTTTGCTCCAATAGGTGTTTATAAATAGTAGGATTTTTGACAATTTATTTATACAAAATTTGTCATTGTAGACAGCCAGACAGCTCCATAAAAAATCATTTACTCTTTTCTGTAAATTACTTAGAATTTAGAAATACTTGGTTATGTTACAGGTGGCTTCGTGATGGCCATGGAGGAAGGAATGATATATTGGAACCTAAAAATAATCTTCTATATTCTAGTCAGCTCTATGATGACAGATATTATAGTTACATCATTGATGTCAATACTTTTTGGATGTTCAGGTAATTTAGTTTAACAAAATTTAAAAAAGTTCTTTTGTTTTATATTCACAATTCTTCAGGTTGTTTGAGCGCAAAGTCTTTTCTCTTCTTTTCTATTATCAATGAAATAGAATTCACCTATCATTTTCATTATTGGTTACTTTATTTTTTGGAAGCAGTGATTGCCGGACTTATTGGAGCAGCATGGAACTCAATCCAAACACGATTGATTATTTGGCGTAAAAAGTTAGGAAGTTTAATGTAGACAATTTGTGTTTTTAAAGTGTGCTATGGAATTCCAGATATATTAAATTTAGGTGGCACCAAATTCTAGAAATGTTTATTGTGTCTTTCGTAACAGCCACATGTGGTTGGATTATGTTGTTCATGTTTAAGAGTCGCTGTGTTCATGAACCTCATCATGTTGAAGGATTCCATTTTGGCGCACTTAAGGTTCTATCGTATTTAATTTTTAATTTTTTTTTAAATTTTTAAAACTTTTGTTTTTCAGATGGAGTGTAAGAAAGATGAAATAACAGCCATAGGCACATTGCTTACTCATACTCAATCAAATGCTATCCGTTTCCTCTTTAATGACTCAGATGGTAATAAAATTTAAAAATTAAAAAAAAAATAAAGAAAAATTAATTATATTTATCTATTAGAATTTGATGCCCCAACACTTGCAATATTCAGTGTCATATTTTTCTTCCTAAGTGTTTGGACTATGGGCACATTTATTTCTGCGGGTATTTTCATACCTAATCTACTTCTCGGTAGCGTTTGGGGTAGGCTTTATGGAGAATTATTTAAAAAGTTACTTTTTTCAAGAGTAAGTATGTCATGTTGATTCTAAAAAGCTTATTTATATTACAATTTTTTTTAAGGATGAAAACTTCAGGCCTTCTGTATTTGCAATTATTGGCGCAGCATGCCAGCTGTGTGGTGTGATCAGGATACCATACACACTCGGCGTTATAATGATGGAATCTTCAGGCACGATGCAATATGTAATCCCAGTTTTCTTGTCACAGATAATAACGACAATTGTCGGAAATATATTCAATCATGTGTGTTGATGATGAGAGCGATTGTCAAACTCACAAGCAACTTATGATATATTTTTGTTCCAGTCAATATATCATACTCAGTGCTTCCTCGCCGGTATGCCGATCGCAGAAACAGAGCCTCCACCATTCTGCATGGACATCGAAGTGCAAACTTTAATGAGCACGGCTATTAAATCATTCAAGAGAAAAGAGAAAATTCATAATATTATAGAAATGTTGAAAAACACGAAACACAACATGTATCCCATCCTGAAACATAAGGTGAGGTTAAATGAAAACTTGATGTATACATATATTATAGAGAGTTTGCTGTTCTCCTTTTCTTTTTGCATTTTCTGCCTAATAATTAATTTTTCTGATGCTGCAGCCTGCAGTTATATTTGTCTATTAAGTTTTGCCTGTTAAGATACCTGACTGTAATTTTTCTACCCTATTGCCAGCCTCTCTCTATCTCAGGGCGTTGTCACTCGAGGATAAAATATGTAAAAACACAAAATACTTTATACATATAATAAAAAATAAAAACATTTGAAAATTTTGAGGTGATTGGGGAAAAACTCCTTCATTCACACTACTAAATTACATTCACACACAGGGGGCGTCAGTGGTCGCAACAGTTTTGGCGTTGTCATGGCGCTCATCACTGTAAGGTAAAAATACATCCATCGGCCCTGCATTTGAACCCGACATACTTACAAATGGGCCTTTTTTCAAAAACACTGGTTGAGGGTTGATTTGATCTCTGCTGTTTCAAACCCTCGTAAAAAATAAATAAATACATTTGCACACCAATAAAACCTTGACAAAACAGCCCCTATTTCATGTCGAGAGACGTGGTTGTGGAAGTCCTTCAACCTTATGATGAGCTAAAAGGCTCGAAATCTGGATCGTTGCAAAACAGCCCCTTGTTTCAAAATTTAAATTTTAATAGTTTTATCTATCATTAGCATCAACTTTAACACAGTCAATCAGGCAACTTAAGAAGATGACACAATGCTGAAATGTGTTTGATTTATTACTAAATTACTATTACTAGCCAATAGAGCAAATGAATTATTATTATTTATACGTCGCTACTCCAAAGATTTTAATTCCTCCATTTTCTACCTTCCTATACCCTACCCTTGTCCATTCCCTATTAGAAATTGCTCCTTATTCTGGTCCTCACACTACAACACTTAAACTTAACTAATTCAGCATAAATTCCTTAAGTGGATACACTGCAGGAAAATGGGTATTTACTATTATGATGTGCCATCAACATCCTGCAGCAGCAAGCTAATTTTCCTTGAATCTTGATGCTTTATTCTTGTATAAGATTCTTAACAAGATGTACTCCCCTGAGTTTTTTAACTAATAAATTTCTACATTACTAATGTATGTTAGCCATTTTTTCAGTTCTTTGTGTTAGAAAGGAAGATTGATACCCAGCCAGAGGGTTTTTGACAAGGTGAACCATTTCTTTTTAATTCATAAGCTTATAGCTTGCTACTTAATTGGTCCAGAAGCTATTTGGTGGAAAGTTACTAATATGTAAATTTTGTGATGTACTTTCTGATCCTTTCTTTGTGTCATCAGGTGTACCTCAAGGTTCTATCCTTGAACCTCTACTTTTTTTTTACATTTTCATAGCTGACTTTCATATAGCCAAAAGTTGATTATTCCTTTCTTGTTTGGTTTTTCATCCTTGTACTCAATTAAATTTCATTTCAGACCTTAGAGGGAACAATACTCAGATATCAGCTGGTTAAAATCCTCAAGTATAAAATGTTTGAGAATAACAATATAAAAAAAGTGTATAGACAGTATGCCTTCAAAGACCACCCTCCATATTCAATAGCGGTAAGTAAACGATCGATCTCCGAGTCAACCGTCTCATAAAATTTTAAATCTACCGTTTTTTCAGGATATTGTAAAAGAAGACTATCCCAACAACGCAGAAGTGGATCTGGAACCTTATATGAACAAATCCCCTTGTGTACTACTAGGCGTAAGTTAAATTGAACATATATGAAATAAAAAAACAAAAACAAAAAAACATCACATTGCATATTAATTTCAGACCAGTTCTTACAACAACGCTTATAACATGATAACATTTGTGGGAACAAGACATATATTGGTTGTCAACAAAAGGAACGAAGTAAATAAAGTAGCTAAGTACTTTTTTTAAGGCTAGTTTTTAACATTTTCAATCTATTTTACAGGTTCTTGGCATTTTGACCAGGAAAGATGTTTTAATATATAGAGAACATAGTTCAATATTTGGTGTCCATGTTGTGAAACTACCTAAAGTTTAATTAAACATGAATTTAACAATTATTTATCATATTATTTCATTTAAAATTAAGAAGTGATTAAGTTCAAAGTGATTTGGGTTTCAACAGGTAAATTTATTAATATACAAACACATGGTACAGTTCAATACAAAATAGCAACCTAGGAATCAATAATTAACATAAAATATTGATAAACACAATAATCTGAAGCAAACATTAAAAAGAACCTGAATTAATTCATTTTCAATATTTACAAACATATGAAAGGAAGAGAAAATAACAAACAGATCAACTGAATATGGTAAAAAGTCCTTGCCTGAAAGGCAAAACTAGCGAGAAGAGGAAGTATAACCGGAGACTATGCTTTAGTAGCAAGCATGAGGTCAACAAGTCCAACAAGCCATCATCCGAACCGAACTTATCTTAGTATCCTAGTAGAAAAAGAGAATCACTTATTGCTTTAAGTTTGGTTTATGGGATCTTCTTCAGAGGTCATAGGAGCGAGCAAAACAACTGCCAAACATCTGTGCATACTACCTGACTACCTGGAAATATCAAAAATAAATGGCTCACCATTAATTGCAGGAATAGAGCAAATACCAGGTAGATTTTATTCAAGGCAATAAATGTAAGTTTTACTGTTGACTTTACTGTAACATCTAAATTTTAGAAAATTTTATATTTTTTATAAATTTCAAATTTTGTTTGAAGATGTTCTTAGATATTCACATGTACCGTTTAATACACTTCTTTTAATCTTATGGATCAACTAACCATAATGGCTTAATATTAAGGTATTTTGTATTTTTGTTAATTAATTTTTTTAATAAAAAGGCCCTGATGATGGTGGAGTAAACCATCGAAAGTTTAGCACAGCCCAAAAAATTGTTTTGCTCCATATAACCTCTGAAGCCCCGTCACCCAAACTTGCTGCAGTTAAATAAACATCGAAAACGAACTTTTTTTCCCATTGGGTTGAGTTTATCCTTGGTGTAACACTCGGGAGTTATGAGTTTGGCCTAACCGTGTGAAAATCAAGGCGCACCTCAGGCTCGAACCCGGTCCTTGGAGGGGATCCGTCGGTCCGCAACTCCGAGTCCAGTCTTCAGTCAGAATCGAGACCCTCACGTGTTCTGTGCCCCACTGTGCTCATAACCGACTCTCGCCGACGGACGTCTTTTCATATGGATTCCGTTTAAAAACATCCACAGGTCAGTAAGACATTATTTCATTCTCCCTGGTGCGATTAATATTTCAAACGAAAAATAGTAGAAAAATAAAATAAGGATATTTCATCAGTAGGCCGGAGACTTCAATTCATAAGAAAGTGTGCTAACAGGATTCATTTTTTCGGATTTCAGAACTTGTTTAATTTTTAAAATTTTTACATTTGACTTTTTTTATATTTAAACGTTGATTATAACATCTAAATGAGGGTCTTTAATCAAGTTCTCGACTTCTTCAGGGATTTGATTTCCAAAACTCTTCTTCAAACTAAAAGTTTCCTTCCGAGTGAAAATATTCAGACTTAGATTTGAACGATCTAAGCATAATTATTTGATTTCAAAGTTGTGTTTTCTACTATGAAATATATCTCGACTTATTCATAGTAATAACAATTATGAATTTTTTTTTTCTAAGGATCGACTACAAAGTTTATTTACTATTGTTTATATTCAATATTATTTAATTAGGTGAAATGTACAAAACAATTCTATATATTTGGGATGCTGTAAGAAAAGTGTCGTTTTACTAATGGCTTTGCGTACATGTCTGTTATAAAATTCGCGTCTTTGATAAATTTTTCGAACTTCAGGGACTTCATGACCTAACTGCATACATGCAAGGTGAAAACTGTGAAGTTTAAATAATCAAATTTCCCACTTTGTCCCTTTTAAGCCCGACAGGAAAAAAAATCATCTTAAAAATACAATATAAAAGATTTATTATGTTTATTATTTCATTATTATTTTATTATCTATCAGATCCCTTCCAAATGATTTCATTCTTACGTAGAACTCAATCTTTAAGACTTTTTAATTTTTTTATTGTCGAATACTTACAATATTAATCGTACACTCGCATGCTAGTCTTCAGGATTTTTTTTGTGCATCTCTAACAAGAGACGTGGGATTTTAATGAAACCGAAATGAAAAATCTTTTTAGTGATGATTGGTCGAAAAATATTAGACAAGTGCCCGAGCGTTCTTGCCCTTGGTACCGATAAATTTAGAAAATTATTTTCATAATTGTTTTAAATATGTTTATTGCATATGAATAGATTAATTTGCACGTAGGACAATAATTAGACAATAATACGTAAGAAAGTATTAAATGAGATTATATATATGAAGCTACAAAAACTAAAAGTCTATTCCGGTAAAGTAGGCCAGAAACAATTTTATTTGAAAAAACTCATTCAGATTTTTTTAAAGCACCATTTAAAGACCTTAAATATGAATTTTCATAGTAAACAAAATATAGAAATTTTTGATCTGGATCAGCCGGGAGCAATTTTTGTGCCCGGTGTTCCATTAAAAAATTCAAAATTCCTCTGGATTTTTTTCTAAATGTCACTCCTGCAAAGTGTTGTGTGCAGAAAACGAATATCAAGTTTGTTTCTTTGTTAAAATTTTTTTGTCTACTTTCCTACGTCGCTCGGTCACAAATTGTCTTTATCTATGATAAGCTAGAGGATAGTTGCCAAATACAATTTTGACGCAATGACTAGTCAAAGTAAAATGCAGATGAGTGAAATATGAGCGAGAAAAAAAAATTTCCCAGGGTGATCCAACACAAAAAATTATATTTTTAGTTTGCTATTAAAATTCGTATTAAAGGCTTTAAAAGAGTGCTTAAAACTAATTCGAATTATTTTCAAATACATTTGTTGCTTATTTTACTCGAAGTTTCTTCATTGTTGTAATTTTTTATATTATCTAAATCGTTTTACCTACAATATTCAAGTTGTTTAAATTATTTAATTTTTTACTAGACTTCAAAGGCTAATGTTTTTCGACCTAGTATCTCCAAAAAAAGTTTCATTAAAATTGATTGATCCCACGTCGGAAGCGTCCTTTTTAAGTATAACTTCAGACAACTTGAAACGTCTCAATATATTTTTTTGTATTGAAGAATAGATTTTTTTATTTTTCCTTAATCGTTCTATATTTTTCTTATAGCAACTAGGCCGATTTTCAAATGATAACATTTGTTTTTCGTAGGTCAACTTACATTTAGTATTTTGTTAAAATTATTTTTATTGCATAGTTATTGTTTATTTATTGCAATTATTATCAATATTCCGCCATTAGGCCTCTCCCACTAATCAGTCACGCCAATAGATACATTCCCTCTTAACACATGCTAAGAACAACAACCTTTCGCCGGACATATACATTTGCTTTGGCCTAAAAGTCTCCGGGTGGTAGCCTCGCATGGCCTATTCTTAATCGGGTAAGGATGACCCCCCCCCTTCTATAAGTCAGATCCTCCGTGGGCCATCTATGGACAGTGCTCTTGATACATGAGAGTAAACTGAAATAATTCTTGGGAATGTATATATAATAGAAGAACTCGATCTATGATAAACCCTGGAGATGTGTCAGTTTTTTCTTCTGAAAGGTGCATCGCTCAATCCTATAAATGTAATGATTTTACATTAAATAAATTTGAAAGTATTTTGATATTATAGTAAATAAAAAATGTAAGATGTATAAACATAGGAAAAAGTGTCAGGGATTAATAAACCAAAAAATTTTCGGAGTTTCACAAGAATGATAAGGAAGGAAAATTCTCCGTTAATTAATAAAAATAAAAATCGTAAAAAATCTGCTCTTTTCTTTGTTTTTCCAGTGGCGTCATGCCATACAAAATCGAATGGAAATCAAAATTACAGCTCCGGGCCGTTTAGCTTTAACGACTTCATGGTCTCTGGTTTAAAAAAAATTTCTTCGTACATCAATCGCGCCAAGGCGTTAACGCTCGTCCTTCTCAGTCCAATCAGCCTCACTGCTAATTATAATGGGCTAAAGTGACGGCCAAAAACAAATTATGATGATCCTTCGTACATTTGTGTGGTTTAATTAATTTACATTTTCAAAACTTGGCTCTGTAAAATCGTTTTCAACCTTGAACCTTTTATATCAAAAATGATACCGTGAAAAGTTGATTGGAGAAAAGGCCTTAATATGTAAATAATAAATGGACCTTTTGACAGGGGAAGATTTACATTAATGTATTAGGAGGAATGTTGGGATATTGCCACGTCCTTTTACCCTTCGACTACGAGTGCACATTTCCTTTGTTGTAAGTTGTTGTTTTTGTAAGTACAGAAGAATCCACATCGTAACCTAGGGATAGGGATAGGGATAAAAGAGGCGGCCACAAGGCTCCTCTGTTAATTATAACTCACTGGCCAGCTTCAGGATATTAACCAGCCTCAACAGCTTTGCCAGCAGTTCCTTGGTGTAGGATCTTGCTTGTGGCTTTTCTTGTCCTAGTAGCAAGAACCTTCACAGAAACATAAAATGTGTTCTGCGGTCTCCTTCTCTTCCTGGTAGTATCTGCACAGTGTTTCTTCTGTTTGTACTCCTATCCGGTGCATGTGCTTTCTTAAGTGGCAGTGCCCCGTTAGGAGTCCAATCAGAATCCTAGTTCGATTGTGGTTGCCTTCCAGTAGTTCTTTTGTAAGTTTTGCGGATGGTCCTTCTATGAACCTCTTCGCGTGCCTCATACCTGCGGTTGTTCCACCAGGTTTTGGACTCATTAAGGATCCATTTTAAGATGTATCCTTTTTTGTGGCAGGCTGCTAGGCCGCAGTAGGGTTCTGGGCCTAGAGAGTCCATATTGGTGGCTCCCTTTTTGGCCAACCCTTCGTTGCCTCTATGACCCGAATGTCCAGGGACACATGCCAGGGCCAGGTCATTAGTGTCGCTGACTTCCAGGGCCTCCATGCATTTCAAAAATACTCTTTGCCTTCGCCTCGCATGAGGCTAAAGATGGGCGCACACTAGGTCGGTGGGGCGGCGCGGCGCGGAA